ATAATACATTGAAATTGTAGATTATTTCTATATTTGGCAAAACAATTACTAATTACCATTAATTGATACGGTAAATTACAACTAGTTGGATAATAAATTCCAGATAATTCATTTGTTGCATCATAAAAATGTTTTAAAAAATCTCTTATATAGATTGCCATTTCCCAGTCTTCCTCAAATATCATATCATTAGGCATTTTTAAATTATAAAAATCAGAAAGAATTTGTTTATGAGATATACAACTTTCCAACATAGCATAGGTAGAATTCCACCTATGCTTTACATCTAATATAAAATGTTTATATTTTAAACCATAATTTTGGCATATATTTTTAAATTCTTGTTTTCTTACCCCTGAACTTTTTATATATATAATGCAATTTTTAATTTTTGAAATAATATTCAAGGCATCTTGAATACATAAATTTAAGATGTGACATGCACATCTAATATGAAATAACTTACCATTTAAGCGTGGTTTTAATTGAGATTTTAAAATATTTATTGCAGAATCATTATTGCTAACATTATAAAAATAATAGAAAATAATTTGTTTTCTATTCCATAAGCATCCAAAGTATTTAAAATACTTGCAGCAATAGATGGGCCACTATGTGGTCATTCAAGCCTAGTAAAACTTAAAATTCTTTTATTCAAAAGCCAGTTTTCATCAATGAAATGGCCGGTAACACAAATATAACTAATATTAAATTTGGATGTCTAAACATCCGAAGTAATTGCAACTTCAGAATTAAGATTTGCTAACAAAGAAATTAAATTTTGTTTATATGAATAAAAAAAAATTTAAAGCATCAGTTCTTATAGTATTCCTAGAAACTTTTTTATATTGTGGGTTTACAGAACTACACAACCATTTTCTGTAGCTTTGGATCTTCAACTAACATAAATGGTTGTTCTTCATGTACAATATACTTAGCAAGTTCTTGTCTCATTTTTTCTTGTGAATATCTAAAAAACCAAAACTAGTTCCTCTCCCAATCTGTGTTTGGGTTATTTCTCTCCCTTCATCTTCCTCTCGCTCATGTGTGAGCAAATGTTTGCTCAAATGACCCGTACCACCCTTGCTACAATAACTAAAGTATTTCTTACATTTTTGGAAAATGACCCTTTTCCCTTCCCCTCAATATCCTCTACTTTGAAAACTTTCCAAACCAAGCTACTCAGCTTAGAAGCCCTCATTTTTCCCATAGTACTACTACTACCGGGGGTGAGAGTTCCACTTCCATCGATGTCAAACGCATCGGCATTAATGCTAACACTAATACTATCGTGATGCGATTGAATGTCATCCATGGTGAACATGTTGGGGAATCGGTTTTGAGAAGGGCCAACCATTTTTTTTTAATTCCAAAAAGAAAAAATTAATCTAATTCGACTTACCCGGATTGTCGGTTCAAAATCCCAACTTGACTTCAACGGTTGAAGCCTTTCAATGTCCAAGCCTCCCGAATTGAGATACTTGAGCTGGTTGAGCAAGCCTTTTTCTTGTTGAAAGTCGAAACTTTGATAAAATTGAGACTTGAGAATTGGATAATGCATAATCAGACAATCAGCTAATCAGAATTTCTCATAATGTAGATAATTGAGAATGTATGAGTATGAGAGAGAGAAAGAGAATTGTTGAATTGGTGTGATGAGAATGGTGGAGGATAGGGCTATTTATAGGAATTGAACATAATATTACCCAAAATACCAAAAAACTATCTGTTATTTAATTGTTGGGAGGGGTATTTTGGTCATTATAAAGATACTTAAAAATTTACCCAAAATGTCTCCCTAAACTAGTTGTTATATAGTTGTTGGGGAGGCATTTATGTCATTTTTTCAACCCCCATAAGCAAAATACAGAAATACCCCCATAATATGGCTGTTTATAGCTGTTGGGGGGGGGGGGATATTTCTGTAAACCCCCCCAAAAGCTGAAATTAGCCGTTGGGCTCCTTTGGGAGGGGGCCCAATGGCTATATTCCAGGGCGGGCCGAGCGTGGCCCATTACAAGCCTGACGGGCTATGCCATCCTGGCCCGTGGTGGGCCGTGCTTCGTGTGGTGCCGCGGGCTGGGCTGTGCTGTCACACTTTGATAAACTTAGTCTCGAGGCTTCTCTGATATCACCTTATGATGAGGTAAGGTTGGGATCCACTTATCAATCCAAATATCAATCTACCTTCCATCACCTACTCTCCAAATTAAACATTTTTCCAATAATAAAAAAAAAATATATATATATATATATACATATATAACAAAATTAATATATAATAAAAATATTATAATTCTTAATTTTTTAAATATCAAATAAAAAATATTATATATAATTTTTATTTTTATAATTTTTTTTTCAAATCGAGCTCGAACCGAACCCAAGCTTATGAATTTTTGACTCAAGCCTTATACAACTTTGGCGAACCGAGCTCAAGCCTCGTACTATTCAGCTCGGCTCAAATCCACCCCTATGTGCAATCTTGCTTCCTCGGTTTACCAAATGCGCATGTTATGAATTGATATCAAGTTGGTACGACCAGGTTAGGTCAGCTTAGCTAAGTCAACGGGCTTAGGTGATATCGGCTAGGTCAGTTAGGCTTAGGTGAACTTAGTCACGTCAATTCAACCAATTCAGTTAGCTCGACGAAGTTAGTTGCTCTTAAACCATCTTGTCCTTCTAAGGTGATGTGGGGATGATTAACTACTTTGCCCCCAAACTTAAGATGGTCGGTGATTTTTGAATGGTGGTTGGTTTTGGCTGTATTTATAACGAATGTTTAAAGTATTGATATGTATCGACCCGTGTTGGTCGATACGTGTCTTGCCAATGGCTTTCCAATATGTTTTTACAGGAATTGTATCGGGTCAGGCACTGTTTTAGAGAATAATCGGGCCTTAAATCGGCTGGCCCCTTTGAATCGATTTAAAAAAAAATAAAACTAAAAAAAACATTAACACAAGCCGATACACTTTACCGACATATTGGCCGGTATTGATACTTTGAACCTTGTTTATAACTATTGGCATGGCATAATATGGTGACGATGATAAAAATACCATATTCTCTAAGGATGGCATAAATGATGTTTTTTGGTATTGTCAGAGATACTTATGTATCCAAGACGATGCACCAAACAACTCTTGGCTAGTGAGAACAACTTATAGGCTCTAGCGAAAAGCAATGGAGTTGGGATCTCCTGCCAGTAAAAGATGTTCCTACACCCTGTTAACATGATATTGCACTGCACATCTCAACCATGAAATTGACATGCACCATGTATGAAATGTATAATGTTAAATTATGTTAGCAGGATGTTGGAACGTGTTTTATTAACAAGAAATCCAGACTCAAAGCGCATTTGGATCTCCTATCCACAAAAATCATACCCACAACACCTACCGACAGGATACTACAGCGTCTTGATTCATTCATTACACTTCACTCAGTACTTGATAAAAAGAGAGCGAAAAAGACATGTCGCCAACCAACTCTTTTCCTCGATGGTGTGATTGATTGGAGGCAAGACGCCCCTTTATAAAAAGGTAATTTTTCTTCCAAACCAATCAACTGTTGATATTTAATCAAAATTGGCGTGGCTTTCTCTGACTGGTTGAAGTTTTTAGGTACCATGTCCTTTTTCAATGGCATTTGATCCTTTTGTCGTAGATATTGCGATTCTCTACCTCTGTGTGGTCGATTGCCGAAGTTTATTACTTCACTACCTTCCCTCTTGTTCTGTTAATTAAGCTGCAATGCGAACGCAATGTCTCATATTATAGGAACATGTTCTTTTGAGGAAGTGGATTTTTTATTATTTCAAACAGTTTCATCTATTTCTATATCATATAAAGCATATACTTATCTTAGGATTTACTAAGGGGTTATAAAAGTTAAATCCAAATACCATATAATTAATACTTGTTTGGATGCATGCTCTTGTACCAACTTTGTAGAATCATTAAATCATTAATAATAATATATAATAACAAAGAATTATTGTCTTATTTGCTCTTTCTTATAGGATAAATATAAAATAGTATGGGATAAATTATTTATATATGTCATGGGGTTTTTGTCAAACATGAAGACACTTGAGCCCCTCAAGTTTCCCTAATAACTCATATCCCCTTCCACCAACAAACTATACTATTCCATGGGGATTATTCCTATACATATATTTTAATGTGTATATATTTAATCATAAATTAAAAATAATGCCATATATAATATACACTTCCAGGTCTTATGCCTAAAAACTGCTTTTTGTGAGGTTCACCCAAATAACAATACTTACACCAGTTAGTATACTTAAAATAAATACAAGTGAGGCTTTGGTACAAGGTGTACCAGTCCCAAACCAATTATTGAGTGGGACAAAATAATATGCCCAAAATTGTCTCAATTATTAATTTGGATAAGTGGATCTGACCTAATTATAGGCATCTATAATTATCTATGTTAATAACAACTTAAAAACTTCATTTTCTTATAATACTAGGAAAGACACTGTTCTTAAAAAGATGCCCATATCACGTTTAGTTACTTAATTAAATTGTCCAATAATTAACTTTTTATTTAAAATTTTCAGAAAAAAAAACACAAAATTCTAAAAAAGGTCGGAAGGTAATTTGAAGAATCTGATGTAGACAACTGCATTTTAGAATATAAGTATATATAACCTTAATAAAACAAAATGTTTTAACCAAAATTATTTATAAAATTTACCCATTTAAACATAAAATACAGTAAAAATTACACGAGAACTATAAAATTTACCCATTTAAACATAAAATACAGTAAAAATACAGTAAAAATCACATGGGAAGTCAATAGTATTTGACAAAACCCAAGGGAGGTATACGTAATTTAGCGAAAAAAAAGTTTCATCGACCAGTATCAGTGGACAAGATCACTTCCAACGTCGTCGTCACTGGACAGGCACGTTTTAAAATCCACCAACAAAAAAGAAATCATAAAAGCAGGGTAGCCATTGGGAATTGGCCAACAGGTCGGTGTAAGGCGCGCTCTGCGAGGAGCAAATCCGGTCTCAGCCATTGGCCAACACAACACATACACATCACACGATTATTGTTTCGTATTCTTCCTCATTATTCTTTCTTTCTTCTTCTCCATAACTCTGCTCTTCTTCACTGCTGAGATCGATCAGAGAAACAACAAGTAAAATGGCCTTGGAAGTGTGTGTGAAGGCTGCAGTTGGTGCTCCTAATGCCCTTGGAGATTGTAATATCCCCTTACTCTCTCTCTCTCTCTCTCTCTGTTTGTCTCTGTAAGTTTCTTTGTATATATGTTCATCGAGTTCATCAACTATGTGGTATTAATCACTTTTTATTTGTTCGATTGATCGGTAATGAAAAGGCCCTTTCAGCCAAAGGGTTCTTCTAACTCTAGAGGAGAAGAAAATTCCCTACCAGATGCACTTGATCAACGTCAGCGACAAGCCTCAATGGTGAGAATCTCTTCTATCTCTTACTCGTTTTATTTCCCTCTTGTGTTATTTTATCCCCCAAAAGAATTCACACATTTCTTTTTACAAATTTTCCTCACACCTTGTTTGATGTTTGTTCCTAGAAATGAAAAGTTTGTTGCTTTAATTGCTGTTTTGATGATTGGTTTAGGTTTTTGGAGGCAAATCCAGAGGGGAAGGTTCCGGTACTTAAGTCTGACGACAAATGGATTCCCGACTCCGATGTCATCACCCAGATTATCGAGGAGAAGTTTCCCGACCCTCCTCTCTCTACTCCCTCTGAATACGCCTCCGTGTAATCTCTCTCTGTCTCTGTCTCTCTCTCCCTTTCAGAATACAACTTACTGAACTTTTTCAATCACCATTTCCGGAACCGGAAGGCCCACATTTAGTTCTGTCTCAAAGTGTCTTATCTCTGCTTGAACCAAGTGGAGAGAATATTTTTACTCACTCTAGCATCAATTTCCTTTGGTCTTGCAGGGGATCTAAAATATTTCCTTCCTTTGTTAAGTTCTTAAAGAGCAAGGACCCCAGTGATGGCTCGGAGCAAGAACTGCTGGATGCTCTGCGTGCATTAGATGATCATCTTAAAGCACATGTATGTGCCCCTATCAGTGCCCATTCTGTGTGATATAGTATCTTGTTTCTTTTGGCAATGTTATCTACTTTGACAATTTTTACTCGTCACTGACACTGCTCATCTATCTTGGGGCGACCCCAGGGCCCTTACGTCAATGGAGAGAAGATTTCTGCTGTTGATCTGAGCTTGGCACCCAAACTGTACCATCTCGAGATTGCACTTGGCCATTTCAAAAGCTGGACCATTCCAGAGGATCTGCAAAATGTCAAAGAGTACATTAAGGTATGACCATTAAATACTAGAATAATCTGGAGTTGTTTCTTGTCTTGCACGCCATGTTAATTTCCGTTGTAGTTTGATATGGCTAGATGCTTCCTCCTATTTGAAGATTATTATTTTGACACTTAAAAAACTACTTAATATTATTTTGAATATCCAGACGGGTGGATGAAGCAGAATTTATATACCAAATTCAGATTTGAAAATGCCTTTATAAGCAAAGCCATAATGAAAGAATTCTGGAAGTTAATGCGAAGTTAAAAATTTCTATGTTATATATACCTATGCTAGATACTGTGGTCAAAATTCCAATTGCCGATCATATTTAGTTCTACCTAAAACAATAGAAAAGTAAACATATTATTCAGTTGTTGGCACCATACCTGTCCATCTGTGCTTATGTCTAGGCTGCAGAGGAAGTCAATGTTACCCTACTTTTGGGATTCGAAACGGATAAGTGGAAGCAAAATTTAAGCTGAGTCTGCTCGATATAAATAACAAGTCTTGTTATGAAGCAATGTTGTCATGAACTCATAGTAGTGTCCTGCAAGTTAATAGGGAAGGTAGAGCACTTCTTTATTGTCACTTGTATCATAGCACCATCTACTTGGATGTGTAACTGAAGCATTAACCTCAACAGAGTAAAGAACTTCCCCTTGAGATTCATGGTTGTGGATGCCTTGATATGTAGGAAAAATCTTATTGTTTGTGGTTGTGGAATGAAAGCCTTCTTCCTCTGTACAAGGACAACCAGCCTATTTCTTCCAAGGAGATAAATCATATTGACAATCTGAGATAACTCCTGTCAAAAAGTAGCCTAATTGGGCCAATTAGGATTCTCCCATGGACAAACCATCTTTTTCTTTCATGGGGAGGAACCTAGTGACAATCTTAGCAATCCATTAAATGTAAGACCCCCTAGATTGGCCACATGTATTATTCATTTGTAGTCTATGTGAGGAGATTTTCCTGAGTAATAGTAGCCTAATGATACACTTTTTTGTTTTTAAATTTGAGGAAATCCCACAAAAAAGGGCTTCTTATGGAGTATGAGTGCATAGAAAGGATGGCACTGAGCCCCCTAACATCCAGGTGCCTTTATCTTTTATGAGCTAGATTTGTTGCTTTGGATATTTTTACTCTGTCAGCTAATATAGAATATCTAAAGATATTAGGTATGGTTGTAGCGGATATCATTTTCACTTCTTTTAATTGCCTCTCTGTTTGATAAAAAAAGGTTTATCGGATCTGGCTGAACCTGCATTGCCTGCCCTACAATTTTATATATATATTTTTTTGTGACTTTGAATATAAATTTAATTTTATTAGCTTATGCAGGCAAGCCTAGATGCCTGGTTTGGCTGCATAAAACCTGCCCTGGGCATGTATTATCAGGACTGAGAAGCTCAAAATGCTATTATAACCTATATAAACCCAGCCTATGATCAACCTTATCAAACAGTATGTGCTTGGATGTTTCTAATTATTTGTCTCCATGTTACTATCTTGCTTCTCTTTTGCAACATGGACTAATCAATGATATGGTTTCATTTCTTTGTCGGTGTAAACGGATGGATAACATTAAATACTATTTAGTTTTGCACCCAGTTAGATAGTTTATTAGTAATTGGAAACCTGCTTTGATCCTCAATGCACATGAAGTGAAAGAGTAAGTATTTTCTTTTTTAGCAATATCGCAACTTCACACTATAGGATAGCATTTCAACGAGATGCTTGAGATGATTTTCATTGGTGGTAGTTAGTGCTAATACTCATTGTCCAGATCACATTTCCTTTTTTCTTAGCCAAGAAGTCACTTTGTACACGTCAGAAATCTAGTCACCTGTGTAATGAATTGGTCAAGGCCTGCAACTAGTTAATTTTACTCATCGGTTTAAGGCATGTTCACAACAGTAACACACACACACCTGCATGATATTAATGTTGATTTCTTTTCATGCCATGATTATTATTTTATCATCAGAGCTGTCAGATCACCCCCTCCAAACTTTGTTACTATTGCTTTAAGCAAAAACATTATAGTATACTTGTCTGGAGTTTCCTGGTGACAATGATCTTGTGTGACATTGTGCAGTTACTTTTCTCTCGAGAGTCATTCATAAAGACCAAGGCTGCAAAGGAGTATGTAATTGCAGGGTGGGCACCAAAGGTTAATGCATGAGGGTTCTTACAAGTCCATGTATTTGAACTTGTGACATGAATGGTAGTCTATTCATCTATTCATCTTGTGTTACTTTCATGATGTTGGAACTAGAAAGGGACTTTAGGTCCCTGCTTTAATTTGCAATCTATTTGCTATTACTAGGAATAAATTGTTTAGTCTATCATGCATCTATAGAACTTTTCTTTCTCATTCTCATTTTTTCTGAGTTTGTTCATCTTTTACATGTTAGGTAGATCGTAGATACTGCAAACACCATTATTTTGCCAATCCTGTCAAGGTTTAGCTGTTGAGTTATCTATCTAACCAACACACCATTTCTCTGATAACAATATAGTTTGGTGCACCTGTGCGAAAATAACAATTACTGCTATGATTCTATCTTTACCGGATGGTCATCATCAATCCCAGACCAGTCCAGTCCATTCTTTTCTTTTCATTTTCTCACCCTCCATATCTCCTGAAAGTAAAAACTCTGTGTACATCGCATCCAGCTGCACATTGAGAATATCTACAGTACATGTATGTTAAATTCATGGGGAGATGTTCCCAATGCGCAACTGGATGCCTGTGCTTTCAGAGTGTGTGTGTGCAGAGTCTTTGCCTTCAATAAGAGTTCCCATCTCTCCTCTATTTGCATAGTAGATTAGGCCGTCTGGCTTAAAATGCATTTGGTCTTTTAAATTTGCTTATTCTTTGTATACACATTTCCGTATATAGGCTGGTTATATTTCCATGTTTGTTAGATGCTTAGATGTATCATTTTCTGTGAAGCACATATAGGGGGCAAGGGGTCGATTTTTATTTGATCATTAGCAGTGCAAATTCAAGAAGTTGTTGGCTGTCTTGGAAGGGGTGCCAACTGTCTGGCTTGGGACATGGGACCCAATCCCGCCTGCATCAGGGTTTGGGGGTGTTATGGATTGGGGATGGGCTACCCCTGTTGTATAGCCCCATAGAGCAAATAAATAAAAAAAAAAAAAGAGTTGATGGCTGTCTTGGACTTGATAACCACTCTCACAACCGCATTGGTTTGACTTCGAGTGGTCGAACTAGACCTATTTGGAGAAAGCCAACTGGGGTGCTTTGAAAGTTAATGTAGATGGTGCAACCAAACCTCAGTATGGGGGTGCTGGTATTGTGATCTGTGATGGGGAGGGAAATTCTGCTTTTGTAAGGCGGTGAAGAAATCTGAGTTTTGATTCTATTAATCTGGAGGGATATGCAGTACTCACTATAATCCTCGTGGCAATTTGGGAATATTATCGTCGAGTTCAGGGTGCTTGTGTCGAAATTCTCCCACTATGCCCTGTATTCCTTGAATATGTTATTGATTATGACATGTTGTGCTCTAGCTTGAATGGTTTGCCATTTGTTTTGGCTTAAAAAAAAAAAGTTAAAGCAAGTTTTAACTAATAACTTCAAGCCTGTAACTGCATTTAACGATTCTACTGAACTACATCCAAACTCTTCTTAAACCTAGGTGCTTGTTCATGTTTATTCTAACCCCTGTAAGATGGTGTTTATTCTGTATGACACTTGTTGCTGCACGGGCACGGCTGTGAAGCATATAGCATCAAGTATTAACAAGAGTAGAGACGGGCATGATTCGTGCGTAAAGATATAAAAAACGAAGAAGGAAACCCAAAGAAAAGGAAAAGAAGAGGATCATCTCGTTCTTCCTCAAGAAATAAAGACCTCTTACCTGCAATTCTAACGAAGCAGCCATGGCCTGAAGGTCCAAAAGGCCCATTGGGGGGAAATTGAGGTGAAGAGGAATAAAAGGGAAAACAAAGAGAAATGAAAGAAGAAAATCTTACCTAACCAAAACCCTTAATCCCCGCTCCTTTGCCACGAAACGGGGTCCTGCTCTGGCAATCGTAGAGACTAGCCAAGAATCGAAGAAACCCAACTTCGTTCAGCGGTTTTGGTTTCAGAGGAAAATTAGTGAGGCATCGATGTTAAGGACTCACCTTTGCCGTTGATTCACCACTGTTCACCAGTGGAAATGCTGGATGAAATACAAAGAAATTGGAGGAAAAAAAAAAAAACAACTACGGAGCTAATCGAAACCTTAAGGCTGCATTTGGTTGGAGTGTAAACCTGAATCGTTGCAAATTTGTACTAAGGTTAGGTTTCAAAAATGCATCGATTTTCGATGCAAATTTGTGTATCGAAAATCGGAGAAAATATTGCTTTCTAAAAAGGAAAGAAAAATTTGCTCTTATAGTAGGTCGAAGTAAATAGGGATGGTTGTATCAGGTTTGACTTTTCTTTTCTCCAAAACCCTCAAAGAAAAAGAGAGAAGAACGACGAGCAACTCTCAACTGCGAGCGAAAGGTATCTGCGAGCAACTGTGTAGAAACAGAGTAGGTTTATATTTATATTTTAGTAATGGTTTTTCATAATTGATGGTTATTACCATGGTTTTTAAAATCAAACCGGTCAGGGGTCTGGTTACCGGTTCAAACGGTCCGACCGTTCAACTTGAACAACTGGCCCATGCTGACAAATAAAAAATAAAAAAATGAAAAACGATCAAAACCGTTTGAATGGTTCGGACCGTTAACCAGTTGGTTCAGCGGTTTGCTGACCAAAATCAACGGTTTTGGGGAAAAAAGTGATTTTGGGGGAAAATGGAACCGGTCAGGTGACCATTCCAGGTTTTTTTGGTCCGACCGTCCGGTCCAGTTCGGTTTTGAAAATCATGGTTATTACTACACTGCTTAAAAATGTGCTTGAAGTTATGCGATTTTTGCATCATGAATTGTTAGTGGAAAGCCTTCGTATTGTTTTCTGACATCATGTCTGATGGAAAAAGCAAAGAAACTGTATCCATTTTTCATTTCTTTCATCATTCTCAACTTCTTTCACTTTTGGTTATGCCATTGTCTGCCAGGTGATCTTTAGAGAGTTATTTATTTATTTCTCTTCTTTTTCCTGGAGTGTTCTTTATTTCTGATGAATTTGCAAGTTCCATGCATTTTTGGTACAATGCAGTAGTCAATTTCAAATTAATATTAGTAACCCTATATTAAACATTTAAAAAAAGTTTTGGTCAATGGAGTTCTTTTAACCCTCTTTAGCAGTGATGAATCTCCCAATATCAATGTGAACCTACAGAAACACAAATTGCATGTTATCCTTGTATACTATGACTTTCATAACATCTATACTTTTGGTATTCATCCATCTCTTGGACCAAAAACTCTCTTATAGTACAACCTCTGCATATTGACAAATTGGAAACTTTGGAAAATAGTTCCTATTGTCATTTTGAATGCTTATGTTAATCTGTAAATCATTGTGCACTTGAGTATTTGTTTTATGAATCTATAGCTAACAACATTTATGTCAGAGTGACAGTGGTATCAGTCCCACAGAAAATAGACATTTATCTTGAATAAGTATTGTTTCAGAACATGAACAAGTTTTACTCAGTGATCAATGTTAACATGAAATGTGCCAAAGGGAGCCTGAATTTTTTTCCCGGTACAACTATTGATCAATGCTTATAATTATCACTCTTAGTATGATAACCATAACTGAATACGTTTAGTTATATCCTTATTTCAAATTTTGAAAGGACTTGATTTAAGAGAATTAGTAGAGGGTTCTGCTATCAATTACTCCATTCACGTATAAAAGATTAGGTATCTAATGTTTTAGATGATTTTATTTAAAAGAAGAGCTTCTCATCAACGCTTTCTTTTTCTTATCCTTTATTTCTAAAATTTTCTCAACAATCTTTTAAAACAGGAATTTGGTTATTAAGAGGCATGTATTTTCACTTGTTTGTTCATGAATTATTGCATCCGAGTAACTTTAAGGCATTTCTCTTGATGACATAAGAAATAACCTTCCCCTGTTTTTCCATTTATGTGGGCTCCCGTCCGACCGTCCCCGTATAACATTGTAATACATCTTGATAGGAGATCACAAGGAAATCAAAGCTTGCCAGGCATAAGTGGGGATTGCAGACTCCAATATGCTGAAGTTATTGCCCTCCCTATAGTTTCTTAGATAGCTAGCCAGGAAAATATTACATCTTTTTTGGTGGAAGGCAATTCAAAAGCAAATGTCGCTAGATGAGCCAAGGTTTGGTAAGGGGCCCATGATGTCTCACTTCCATTACAGCTGATATCCAATGGACTTCAAAAGAAGTCAACATGATGGTTCAGGCAGCTAGAGCGGGGGTGGAAAGGACCAGTGAAAACTTTTTACCTACCTAATTTTTGAGATGGACTGCTCATTTGCGAAATTTTGTACACATATATACATCCTCTCATTTACACCATTTTGCCAAGCATTTGGTCTATGAAAGGTGCTTCGACATACAATAAGATTTTTCTTTATTCCAAAAGTTTGTTAGTTTAAATGATAGTTATTTTTTCCTTACAAAGTTAGCTGAATGTTCAAGATGAGAAGGTGGGACCCATTCTAATTTTTTCTCTTAACTTTCTTGCCAACCAAATAGAAGTTTAAGAAAAATAAAAATTTCCTCTTCTTTTCTTTTCTTGTTGTCTTTCAGTTTTTTATAATCTTTTATTGACAACCAAACAGGGTCAAGACTTGATAGGAATAGGAAAAAAAAAATGAGGCAGGAAGAAGCCATTCCATCATATTTTGTTGCACTCCATCTCACAGACATCCCGAGTAATCATGACCCACCGTCGGATAGATAGACCTTTACTTGATAAATTCTTTCTTTAGAGAATTTACTTGAACTCACAATTTATTAGGGATCATCATCATCAAGACCCATATAAATGTGAAACCGGATTCCGTCAGTGCAAAATCCATTGGAACAATCATTATACCCTTGCATTGGGAATATCTCCGCATGAAATAAAGAACAGAAGTATAGAAATATTCGCCCCCGATGCAAAGCTGTAAAGGACTCTATAAATATATTTATTAACTATCAATTATTAACTTAAATTGCTTTTTATAAATGTATTTATTAGTTTCCAAAGCTTTTGCAGGAAATGTAGTATTATGATGGGTCCAAAATGTTGAAGCCAGTTGGGTGGAAATAATATGATAACGGAATACTATTTAATCAAGAAGCTTCACTGTTTTTATGCATGGGTGCATGGGCATTCTGTTCAAGATCTATGCACCTTTATCACCCAAGAATTTCCAATTTAATTGTAGGATTCCCTTGGTTCCTCCTGAAACAAACTATTTGTTAAGCC